TGCGGAAAAATGCCAGTTTCTTCACTTTGGTTATTTTGACGAGAGCCTGATTCCACCACGCTGCCTCACATATAGAGGTTTTTTAAATCTTAAATTATTAACCTGAGGCTTCTAATTATGATCGGTCTAGATCTAGTTTGCAGCTTCAGTTGTGGAAGATGAATGGACATGCCAAAGCTATAGATCTAGTAGCATCTGCAGTGGTGTCCATCTTTAAAACAACAACACAGAAACCCAGCCAGATAAGAGCAGCCATCCATAGTCTAGCTCCTTTTTTTAGTATGATTTAACTAATAAATTATCTCCATTTAATGGTGCAAACAACCTTTTTCTTTGACAGCAACCTTAATTGTTGGTGGTTCGAAAATAATATCAATCAAATATCAGTATCGAAACTAAAGTCTCTTGCCTAATAGAACTTTAGTGTGCATGCATCCTCCCTCTCTCGTATTATGTTAATCTCCTCACAACACCGTCTAGGATAAAAAGTACACAATGTTGAGTACATATATATGAGCTCACTTAACAAACTTAACCGCCTCTCAGCATCACCCTTCAAGGAAGAGTCTCTTCAGGCCTTGGAAAAAGTCTTGGCCACTGCGCATAACAAGACAATTTATGCTGCCTGGGAGAGCCCTCTTAAGTGGTCTAGTCGAGGTACTATAAGGGCTTACCGTGTTCGCTTGATCTCACTCAATAAGACGGATGATCTCTGTTTCGAAACCTGACAGTGACAGAAAATGTTCTTGTCTAAAATCATCTCCTTTCACCACCTTTCGTGCTCTCTCACCGTGTTCTATTGACGTGTTTGCTTTCGTCTACACTTTTTGCCCCACACCCCTCGGGGCTGCTGACTCTTTCTGCAGCCTACTGCTACTCCTTGGCTCCTTCTTTCTGCTGCCTTTCAACCACACCCCTGATCTTAAAGTAGGTAAGGCACCGTAAGATCTAACACCTGGCCTTTCCGATAAGGCCGAAAAAATCTAGGAGGTTCTTTGTGCGATTTGCGCACATTAAAGACTCCTGGTGAGCCTAAAATCGATTAAGAGCAAGCTAGCTTCAGTGTGAGGATGAAAATATATCATAATTTTTTTCTTGTTTTGATTATAATGATAGGCCTAATTTTATTGTTGTTTTTACCTGATGTGATTTGAGCATTTGTAAACTCTTGATGATGTGTTCTTCTATGCATGATATTGTGCCTTTTGATTTTTAAATTGTAGAGATCATGGCTCTTTAATCTTTGCCGAGAGCACTTGGGCATCTGTGCATCACAACCAAGTTATCAAATTAAAACAAAATTTATGCCTGTCCTGGTCACTTTTTCTTTAGTTTTTTTTTTTCCTTTCCCTTTGGTAGGCTGAAAGGTTAGATGTTTTAGAGATAATTACCTTCTGCTAATAAAAGATAAAGATATTTTCTGAATATAAATCTCACTTTCATTTCAAATCTAGACACACTGCGTGCACACATGAACACACGCATGCATACGCGCGCACACACATACACACACACACATACTCATGCACACGCACTTGCGCGAGAACACACACATACACGCGCACAACATTCACATTGCACACATAATACATACTTAAATATGTATTTATATTTATGTGTGTGTGTGTAAATGTTAAATATATATGTCCATCCTCTAGTCAAAAGCAAACAAAATGTACTCTATTCTTTTAATGGAATTTTATAGAAAAGTAGTATTTTGGACAGTCATCAATAAACAGGCCTTCTATTTAAGATTTTGTCTTGAGATTCAGCTGAACCTGCTTTTATGATCACTTGTCCAAGAAATTCACCAGTACTATTGACCACCGTACCCTCCCCCTTCGAATCCAAGGAATTCACCTGTACGAATAACATATTTTATATAAAATACATGTTGCATTTTTTTTCCATTGATAACAGCATTATACATGGTTTCTAACTGAACTTGATTAATGTAATATAATATAATATGTGAGGTGAACAGGAGAAGCTGGTCTTTAAAAAAACTTTGCAAAACTGGGTGGTCCTTTGAACTTGAAAACAGAAATAGAAAGCTAAAGGGATGTAACAGCAATCAATTTAAGGTATAGTGATTTAAGTAGTACATTCGTTATGATATGGTTAATTTTTGTCCAAAAAAATATATAGGCTATTGTTTAGGCCTCGTCCCAGTTAACCTGCATCCCAGTTCTTCCCGCTTTGCTCTGCTCAGTTTTATGCTACATTTGTCAATTTACAAAAGCCTGAAATACTTTCATATTATATACCTTGTATATTGTGTCATGCGTTTACTGGTCGTGACATTGATACAGGCTATCTTTTTTATTATCAGTCAATGTTGAGTGTATAAAATACTGTATACACATTATTCTGATTGACGTTAAGTAGTACAGTGTAGAAGATAAGCCTATTTCAAGGCCAAGTACCGGTAGTCAGCACTTTTGTTGTTGGTACAATGTGCATTTTCTCACTACCATAAATGATAACAGTTCGGTAATACAGATAACTTTTTTGAGGATAGGGTCATTGGTGCAGTTGTGTTTGTGTCTTGACTTTTTTAACAGGACAAGTCATAAGCATTTAACTTTGTTGTTCGCAAATTGTCTCTCATCAGCAAAAAGTATTATAAATCAAACCACGGTCAAAATCGTTTAAAACTTAAAAGAGTCACCCATTGTCGAGCAGAAAAGTGGTCATCTTAGACATTTGTTTTACCTTGTGTCATTTTAATGTGAAAAAAAAATATATATGCAGTTGGGAAAATGGGAAGTGGCAGTTTGTGCAGGTGATCGTCTTGTACATGTAGCCATTAGAGTAGGTTCAACCGTATTTTTCAACTTCTCAAAGTTTCTGATAATGTTGTGTGACAATAGCATAAAAAATATAATTAAACTTATTAACCCTTCACATTACTGGGGAGATAGAGTCCAGTACACAAGGAAGGAATGAAAATGAATGTAACCATTACAACACAAGAAAGACAAGAGTACCAGTACATATAATGTCAAACTAAACTTCCACAATAACTCAGCCAATATTGTTACCATAAACCCCTGTAAGACTCTCCTCCCCATCTCTACTTTTTCTACAAAATATACTGTTCTGATGATATTGAGTCATTTGGGGAGAGGCTTCTTGCTAAAGATTATATATTTTTTTCTTTTGAAAAATGAAAGTAGTAGATAAATTATAATAATTTGACCTGTTCATCCTTTGTACTATGTGTGCATTTCTGTGTTGATGCTAAATCTTTGTGCTTTGATGTTTCCACCAAATTTCCCTCGTGGATCCATAAAGTTTATCATATAATAATATATTATAAGCTTATCATCTTACAACAAATGACTTTGAGTTATCATATACTGTGCTTAGTTAAGACAAAACAGGTCTAAGCATCCTATTTTTATCTCTCAAACTTCCATTTGTTCAAAAATATCTTGGAGGAGTGTGTAGTAAGTCTTAACAGCTTTTCTGCTGTATCGATCTTGCAAGTTCAGTGTGAACGAAACTCGCTGACGTTACCTTCTCAAGCTTTGACCTTTGTATTATTATACTGATTACAGTGGGCTTACTGCTATTTCATGAGTTTATCTTTTCTTTTTTAAATTTCCCTCTTTGTTATTGTGCATCATTATTGTGATAAGGCCTATTTTTGTTATACCTGAGGTAGTGAATGTAATGAATAAATTGATTGAGAGGGACAAAGGAAAGATTAACTTTTTTCTGTATATGGGACTGCTCATTAACTTCTTTAATTAAAAGGCGGAGATGGGACCCTTTTGTGAATGCCTTTTTTAATAAGATTTTGAGATTATCAGCTTGTGTTATTGACGCTTTGTACAAATGGTGTTATATTTACCGCAAACTGTGTTTTATTTGATTTACTTGAACCCATGTTTTTTGTTGTCATCATCAACAGCTGTAAGAGAAATAATGTTCTTTGTGAATTACGATTTCATTATTCAGTAACCTGATATTCACCGGTATCTTTGGCTGAGTTTGGTGCTTCACTGTTGCACGCAGGAGACTCGAGTTTGATTTCCGAGTGGGGAGAATTTGTATCGAGTATCTTGGTCTTTCTTCTTGGATTTTGTGTATCTCTCAGCGTTGGTTGGCCTTGAGAGGCAGGGTCGGAAGACCACCTCTAGTAAATTATCTAAATTATGTTCACAGTTACTTACTTTATTGTATCCGTCCTCTTGTACCTCTAGGCGACGAGAGGAGAAAGAGTTTCTTTTTTCTAGCAAGTTTAATGGCCTGGCTGGATCTAGCTGGAATGTATGTTTTCAGGGTATCCTTCTTAATTTGTTAGTGGAGGTGTAAAAACACCTACAATAGAAACTATTATAAAAAAACACCAAAAACATCTGTTTTTTCTGTTTTGTTCTTCAGTGACTTGTGGAAGAAACCGTCATGTCTCCCTCCAGCTGTGGGGTCCTGGGCGTCCTCCTGTTTGTTCTAGCAGTGATGGACACCATGTCACCGGCCAGAGGGAAAAATGTGAGTGGATCTCCATCCTAACTTACCAATTTTGTGGGCAAAGCTGCTGCGATGTACAAAAACAAGAAAGAAAGCATTTTTTTTCAGGAGAGAGAAAAAACATCTGATTCATTCTTTTAACAATGAAACATCTACGTTTTGTTTCTTTTTTTTCCTTTTTTTTCTAACATTCAGAAAGTAAATTTCTACAAAATATTTTTGTGAGTGTGTGCAAAGGAGACCAGAGATGAAGAAACTACAATTTAACAAAAGGTTTGATTAAAAAATTTGGGGGATTGAACTTCTGAACAGCTGGTCGACTATGCTTCCCTTCTTTTTAGGCATTGAAAATTATATCAAGACTTAGACATTGTTAGCATGTATCTCCATATCAATACTGCTGTCATTTATATAGCGAACGACGCAAATATTATTATGGTTTATTTAACAGAAGGCTTAACAAAATGTTTCCCTTTTTGTTCCCCTATTCTGCAGAATTTAAAATCAATCGCTTTTTAGTGTTATTACTAAGTTTTATTTTCTTCTTCTAAGGTAAAACTATTCATCTATGCCTGACATAGAGTGTTTGGTTCTACATGTATATTTTGCTGACTTTTTTCATGTCTTGACAGGTTGTTCAGATGAATGTGGAGTCTGGCACTCCCATCCGCAAAGTGCATATTGTCTTTATGAATCACTTGGGTGAGTTTGTTTACTGCCTGTATCTTTATAGCAATTCATCTTGCATAATACCAAATGTGCATGTGGCACTTCTGGTCTTTGAGTGATTTGCAAGGAGCTTAGAACTAATGGAGCCTCCTCTCTCTCTTCGCGGCGCCGCGTTG